AGAAGAGAATCCGAATCACAGCGACAACACTAAAGCCGCAACCCGAGCTGGACTGTTCCCAAAAAAAATGCGACTAAAAATAAAAATATCGGAATAATGATTAAAATTTGTTTGCAACAGCGGAGGCTGTCGATATGTTGCAAGATGAGAGTTGCAAGTTGCAAGAAGTTATTGTGTAATGATGCGCACAAGCGGATAACATTTTTATTAATTAGTCAAAATGTCGAATGTGTCGTGTACAGCATACAAGGCAAGCCAGCCACGAAGGGAGAAATCAGATTCTCGGCTGCAATTTGAGGCACTGCAGCTTAGCTTTCATCCCAGCAGCTGCTGTCGTAGTATCTGCGGCTTAAACGGGGCTTGAACGGCTTTAAGCTTGCAACGATTTTGTTGATTGCAAATTATACGAAAGCAAAAGAAGAAAAAATTGAAGAACAAAGTTTTGGTGCCAAAGAACGAAACGATGTGACAAGTGATCGTGCAATCGAAGGGTGTTAATTACGTAGCTACTTCTGCCAAACGAGCAAAGGGGAAACTAATTATCGCTCAGATAAGACCAGGCAACACAATCCTTTATTTTATTATAATTTTTTTTTATTTTTTATGTACTTTTTTTTAATGCACTGAAATCTTTGGACTGACCGATATGAGCCACAAACGAGTTCTAACTTCTCTTAATGAACTGTTTTGCTGATCTTGTTTGGCGTTTGGTAACTGATGCGTCAAATATCTTGGCTTTGACCAACATTCTGTGTTGTTTTGTTGTTTTGTTGTTTTGGTGCAGATGATTTAATTGGTAGTATGTTGTTGCAGTTGTTGTACTTATTATTGCAGAGATCATATACGTTGATAAAAATTGCGACCAGCAAGAAAACATTTCAATCAATTTTATTTAAACGAACACTTTAAACTTTGCTGTTGCTCACTCCCGATGTTGCTGCAACAATTGCTGTTGTTTGAAAGTATAAAATTTTATTTTAATTTTTTTTTTGTTTTTGCCTTGGTGTAGATTAACATGTTGATGTCGATGTTGTGAGTCGTACGCGTAAAACTGTTGACAGAAATTGTCTGGAAAATGATTTATTATCGATCATGATAAGCACACATAAAATAAATCCTACAACTACACAATCTCCTTACAACTGATGTACCGTACCGTCCGTTGTGCGGTGCTGTTTTTCAGCTTATTAAGGTACAACACATCGCGAACGATATCAACCTAAGAACATCGCTAACAAAATTGTTGCTTGTTAATTATCAATCAATCGCTAATTACCGATAGTAACGCGATTGTCATCGAACCACTAAAGATACAGATACTTCGTCCTATCGTAAAAAATAAAACAACAACAAAATATTGTATGTAATTTTGGTTGTTTTCCAACAAAGACAACTGCAAAATCCGTACAAGCTTGAATTGGTGTGCGGTGCAAAAGCGGCGGTGTATAAGCTGAGCTTTAAGTATAGAATAAAAGCAGAAAATATATGAAAAATTAAGCTTATATAAACCGATGTGTAAATAAAAAATGGCTGACTGTGTAAATCCTGCTGGCCCGAACATCGACAGCGACAAATAAGACCTACCCAAAGCGTACAAGAAGTAACTGCCTGTTTTAATGGCTGTAATTCATTAGTTGAGAAACTTTTAAAACACAAATAATAAAAACAATAAAAATGAAAAAAAAATCATTCTCTTCCATTTTTGTATTTGTTTTTTCTGGATTTGAATAGCAAGCAAGAAAATCTTTTAGTACCCTACCTTGTTACTTCGTCGGCTCTTAAGCTTGACTTAAGGATAAAAGTCTTGCACTCTGCCATTGTCACAGAGCAATGTAGTTCAAAGTAATTAGCGCATTTTGTACTGTCAACTTTAATTAAACTGAATAGTAACTTGGAATCGGATTCTTACAATACATCCCGAAATACAAAACAATTAAAGCCACTATTTGAAATGAACGAACGTTATTAATGAATTATATTTATGTGGGATTAAGCATATATTATATATGTATATGTTGGATTTAGATATATTCGTTGGAATGAGAAGAGATTTTTAAAGTTTTAGCTTCACTCACTGACTTAAAGCATGTTTCCATTGCCTTCATTAAAGTAGTTCACTTTTATGGGTTTAACTATGTCAATATCGCGGTATAACCCATACACCTTATCATCAATTAACGCCTTCTTATAACTTTGGTAATTGTCGACGCTTCTGCACCATACAGCAGAACAGACTAATGACCCATAATGGGTTACTAATGACCCGTTGATTAGCCGTAAAATGAGGTTTCGTGCTTTCCAACTTAGTTAAGAATAAATTAAGAGAAATTATATCAAATTGATTAACATAAGTTGATTTAGTTGCAGTGGGAACATGGCATAAATAAAAAAAAAAATATATATATATATATATATGACATACATATGTCACCACTACTGACCCAACTACATTACTTAATTGGTAAGAAAAGCGAACCTTTAAGTAGTATTTATCAAAATAACATTTAGTGGACAAATTACAGAGGATTTAGTGTTCTTTCCTTTACGATTTTCTGCATTGACTTCGAATGGAAAAAATGCTTTAAAAAACTAACAATTGCTTAAAAAGGGTTATAGTGAGTCTGCTCTATCCAAGTCAATCATTGATCGTGTTCAGCATCGACAATGCTGAATGCTTTCATGATGGACAATTAAACATTAAATAAGTCTATGAAATCTTTTTGAGGAACCACAAAGTCATGTTGAGGTAGGGAACTGATACCTTTAAAATATCAATATGAAGTATAAATACTTTATTACATGAAGATCTAAAGTTGCGGAAGGAATGTTCGAGGTGAATACCGCATTTGTTCTCGGTGTTCTCAAGATTACGAGATTTTTGGTGCTGCTTCAGCGCAATAAAGTGATAATTTTTGTGTGATAGAAAATAGGTGCATCAACACACTCAAAAGCTAAATTTTGATTAAATTGATTAATTAAGTTGATTAAATATTTGTCTTCACATTATGGAATTGCAGGATATTCTAGTAGCAGATCTATTATAAGTTAGATCTATTATGATAAGAGTACTTAATTTCTTATTCCTTGTCATATAAACATTTTTATATAACATTAATTACTGTTCTTTGTTAAAATTTATTAAAATAATGTATTTAGAGCAAAACAAGCAGGTGTGTTATTTTTTAATCCTAAATTTTTCACAATTAGGACAAGGATGAGTGTTGTTCACAATGTTCACTGGAACAACACACAAAAATTAATTAACTCAAGTTAATCAATTTAATAAATTAATCATTTCAAACTATGATGTCCTATGTGTACACCACAGAAAATACTGTTGATTGTTTCAGAAAGATAACAAATACATTTAGTCCTTCCCACGTTCATGAACACACTTTTACAATGTTATCCTTGTCAATTTAATAAAGCTGTTAAGAGATGAGTGCAACACAAACAAAAGGACACCGTTTTAACGCCATTAACTTTAACGCAAACTTTGATCTTTTAACTAATGAATCCTCTTTCAATTCTCTTCCTATATTTTCCATCTTATTATTCTATCTTAAGAAAATATTGTCTAAAAGCATATTTCCCCCTTTCTGTATTACCTGTGCTGATCATGTCGTGCTCGGACATTAGGAATATCACCTTTAACAAAGGTTCATTTGGTGCATTTGTGGCCAGTTTGACACTCAATAAATTCACTTTAACGCTGTTGGAAATTTATTTGGCTTGCTCCAGTATTTGACATTTTACGATTAGCCAAGCGGCACAATCCTGGATTTGGTAACACTTTTTGATATATTGTTCCCATAGTCGACTATGAACGGGCAGGTGTAGTAATACTTCAACGAATTTTAATATTCCTTATCTATCGATGTGAGTAAAAGGACATCAATAGCAGCTGAAAACTGTGTTTGGTTATTTCACAAACTCTGAATCAGTGAGGAAATATTAAGAATAATAGCTAAGAACTCAAAATTCATTTAGTATTAATTATTATTCACTTGAATGTAAATTAAATGTTATTAAATTAATAATAATATAAGTATTGTGCAGATAACTATCTGAACCTCATTAGATAGCTTGAACTAGATCTAAAACCTATTAAGTTCAGTTGTTGATCGATCAAGTCTTTTGGGTTATTATGAAGTTAAGTAGCTATATAGTTAGGTTTTAATCGTTATTTTTAAGTCAAGTCTTGATCATTACATAACATTTTTAGAAACGCAAACTATTTTAAATTTAAGAACACATAAACTAGTGAAGAAAAGCTGGAATTGTGCAAAGAATTATACTTGAACTTTCCCTTTCTTCGACTATCATATCCAAATTTGAATCAATCTAAAATAAATTTCTTACGATTATTAGATGCTCTTAATTCGTCCTTATCACTTTAACATATATACTGAAAATTCTTCAACTAAAAAAATCATATTCAATCACATTCAGATGGATTTAGTTAATACTATTCAAACTGACTTATTTAAAAAGAATTTCTGTGACAACTTCCAATTGCTCGAAATCCAAGGATTTTTTCCTCTAAATAACTTGCTTTCCTAACAAGAAACAAATAAAGTAGTAACGAACCTTAAATATGTAATATCAGTAGATCAGAGTATTAAGAAAATATACATAAATAGTTTTCTTTTTGGTCACTCTCTCGAACTTCTTATCTTCCTCCTAAGTAAAAACAGTACTCAAAAAAAAAAATTCTTCAAACCATCCATCCTAAAAATAAATATACTTCACTTCTTTCTAAATGTTTAAGTTGAGACCCCCAGTCTCAATGACTTATTTAATTTGATTAATAACTATTTCTTCTCGTAGTTAAATCCGGTTTAATTGCTCTATTCTCCTATAGCAATTTGATTTCTAGTAATTTTGATATATAGCAATTAATAAAAATTAATAAAAACTCATTTTTTATTTTCAAAAAAATATTGATATTATTCAGCTTCGTTAATTTATATCCCTAGGATCCGAATAATGAATTTTGTCAATCGTTCTAAGATTAATAATATAATTCCGTAACATATTACATAGGTAAGACAAAATAGGTCAATAGTAACGTATTTCGGAATTATATTAAAAGCTCTTTGATTCATTTTAGTATTACAGGCTTTCGTACAGCTATCGCTTCAATTTTCCTCTTCAATATTTGGTTATCCAAATCAATTTGACGTTGCTGTTTTCTTCGATTAATGGAAGCTGTGGACGCAAATCTGACCGAAGCTTTAGAACTCTAAATATTTTAAGGATATAGAATTACATATTATTTAAAAGACAAACAAATCTTTACTATTAAAAGTGAAATATATAATGTTTTATATTGAATTTTTTTAAAATTGTCTAAATTGCACAAAGGACCTCAATCAGGAACCTCAAGATTGATCCGATCAAAAAATACATAAAGGATAGAGCACTGAAATTATTTGCGAAAACTGACAGATTTAGCAACACCGCGTTACCGAATCTCAGAATCGTTACAGGCTCCTCGGGAGGTATGCAGATCTAAGGTAAATAAACATTCATTTTTTTCAAATATTCCATTAATATTTTTAATGGTTTTAAGGTTAGACCCAAATTTCCGTCACTCCTTACATATTTTAAATTATGTTATCACTATTTCTCTCTGTCACTTCTTACACATCGTTTTTAATATTTTATTTTCCTTTTCTATCGGCCCTGTCTCTAGCTCTTTCTATATATCTATCTCTCTGGCTATATATCTCTCTCTGGTATTAATATTTTCAGAGCATTACTTACCTGACCACTCGTGGTAAACGTTGGCTTTTGACTGACAATTTTTTGCAGCAAAATCTTATTCGTCCTCTCAATTTCACGCAGTTCTTTATTGGAAAAACTGGCGTTCTTACGCGGATGTCTGATGTTCCTTTTAAGCAGTAAGATCATGGTATTATTCGTCATCAAAATATGTTTATGTTTTGTTTACTTACCTCATTTTTGGTACGGGCATTTTTGCATTATTGAAATTTTTTAAACGGGGAACATCTGGTGCAAGTTCACGTAATGGAAGCGTGTGTGAAATCCGATAGGGCAATTCATTTTCATAGTCTCTAATCGATTCCATAGGATTCTGTATGTAATTCTCTTCATCTGTATCCATTGATGTAACGGAATCATCTGTTGTGCTAACCTCACTGGATTCAGAACTTTCCGGTTCGGCAAAAGTAACCCGACGTGGTGTTTTTACCTGTGCTGCAGCATTTCTTAACCTGTAGTCTTCCATTTTTTTCAGTTTTTCATTCATTATCTCCTGTTGTCGATGATTAATCAAAACCAATTTAAAGTTCATTAACTTTTCACGTAGGTCCTTGTCAATATCGGAAACACTATCTGATGATTTAACAGCTTCGTTGGAGGCAGACTGTTTTATAACCTTCGTTGGCTCATCATTTTTCACACTTTGCTCTGGTGGTTTTGGTGTATTTTTCGGTACATTCTTTTGTATATTCTTTTGGGTATTCATTTGAACTTTATTATTATTATTAATGCTTATGGAAGTTCTTATATTCGCAGTCTTAGAGTTCACTCCTTTAATATCAATATAACAATGACCATTTGGATTGTGTATTGCACAACGGCACGTACATTGCTTGTCCAGAATCAAAGAACTGCCA